TTAGTTTTACGCCGCACTCAGCAATATTCCAGCTATATGGCGGCGGTCTGTAAATAATAAAGTCTGGACCAGAAAATCCAGTGATCAACAACATGAGCATCGATCTACGCAATTGGGAACCGATGACATGTGTCAACCAAGTCAGCGAGCCTGACCACCCGATCCCGTTATAGTCGCCTCTTACGACAAGCATGGGTTACTGAAGGCTCATTCTAACCCGGACCTGCACGGGCTATATGTAATGTGAGGTCCATAGATAGCTACATATATATTTTTCAGTACGAAATGTTTACCTATAAGAATATTTTGAAACAGATTTCTTTTCATATCCAGTATGGCTATATAGTGTAAGCTTGATCTGCAGATACCGCTATAATGCTATACAAGGGGGTCTCTGGACATTTTGCATTGTTATATACAAGAGTTGGTTATATCTATCACTTGGTATACGATGTAGATGTTCCGTTACATGTGGATATGTATAGAGGAATTGCTATATATATTTTAGCTATAAAGCTGATACATAGGTCAGTATATATAACATCCAGTTGCAAACCTAGGTATACATGTATATCTTTATGCAATATCGGGATTTTAATGTAATGCTATGGTAAGTGGAGATTCATAGCTCCATGCAGCTTTATTGTTATGTGCCAAATATAGATTCATAGCCCGATACAACTGGATTGCTATATGCCAAATGGAGATGCATAGCTCGATATAGCTGTATTGCTATATGCCAAATGGAGATGCATAGCTCGATACAGCTGGATTGCTATATGCCAAATGGAGATGCATAGCTCGATATAGCTGTATTGCTATATGCCAAATGGAGTTGCATAGCTCGATACAGGTGGATTGCTTTATTGCTATATGCCAAATGGAGATGTATAGCTCGATATAGCTGTATTGCTATATGCCAAATGGAGATGCGTAGCTCGATATAGCTGTATTGCTATATGCCAAATGGAGATGCGTAGCTCGATATAGCTGTATTGCTATATGCCAAATATAGATTCATAGCCTGATATAACTGGATTGCTATATGCCAAATGGAGATGCATAGCTCGATATGCCAAATGGAGATGCGTAGCTCGATATAGCTTTATTGCTATATGCCAAATGGAGATGCGTAGCTCGATATAGCTGTATTGCTATATGCCAAATGGAGATGCGTAGCTCGATATAGCTGGATTGCTATATGCCAAATGGAGATGCTGTAGCTCGATAAATGGAGATGCGTAGCTCGATGCAGGTATATATATGCCAAATGGAGATTCATAGCTCGATACAGGTGTATTGCTATATGCCAAATGGAGATTCATAGCTCGATACAGGTGTATTGCTATATGCCAAATGGAGATTCATAGCTCGATACAGCTGTGATTGCTATATGCCAAATGGAGATGCATAGCTCGATACAGGTGTATTGCTATATGCCAAATGGAGATTCATAGCTCGATACAGGTGTATTGCTATATGTCACATGGAGATTCATAGCTCGATATAGCTATATTGATATGTGCCAAATGGAGATTCATAGCTCGATGCAACGGTATTGCTGTATGCCAAATGGAGATTCAGGCCGTATTGCTATATGCGATATGAATTGCAAGGCTAGATACAAATGAATCGCTTATGCAATGTTTTGAAATGAATACCACAATATAGATGTATTGCTGTTTGGAATACGGAAATGCAAAGCTACATGTATTTTTTTGTAGGTGAACTGCTACGTGGAGATGCAAAGATCGAGTAAGGCAATATTGGTTTAACTAATGGACATGCATAACTAGATATACATGTATTGCTGTGATGGAGATATCTGTATATTAAGATATCCATATATGATCGTACATGAGCGTTGTGCATAAAACATACATGACTAATGTTATATTTAATAAAAACGTTATTCATCATTCACATTCGTACGTCGATCAGTTTGGATTGATTCAGAGCATGGCTTGTGATATCTTGTCAAATCGCGGCTATAAACTATCATATTTGCCTCTTTGCAAAAGCTATATACATGTACTTGTTTTTTGCCGCCTATATCAATAATAGGTACCGTATTATCTTACAATGATTGTATATAATATATTATGGTTTTGTATATCAGCTATGTGATACAAAGCGTTTCTTTCCATTACTTAGGTAGGACTTCTTTTTCTGCTGTATAATCATTGCCACTGTCCCGGTGATATTAACCAATATCAGTAAAAAGTTAGCTAAAATAAACTAAATACGTGGACATTTGTTGAGTACGGTTGGACGTATATCACAATTCCCACGTACTACGGTTGCATTACGTCACGTCAGCTAAAGAATGTGAACAATTAACTCATAGCGCAACCCTCAAATGATAAATAAATGGGTGCACTTTGGTAATGTTTTGTGAACTTTTCAAAAGGTCCTGACAGCTGCATTGTTTTCTAAAACAACGTTTTCCTTAACCTGACTAGCTCTCCTGTGAAGGGTACGGGATACAATCAGTATTGGGAGTATCAGCTTCCACCAGCGACAGTGTAACTGTGCGTGGATGGTATCACATTTCACTCTGGCCATGTTGATTTCATGTGTTATCTACACTCCGCTGATGCACATAACCTTGTCGATTTCTCACCACTACTGAAATATGTGCTGTCGAAAATGAAAATTCCAGACGTTTTCTTGTGAAAAATCGACCTGATACTTAATCGTATGTATGATCAAGTCATTAATCACCATTTGCCATGCGTTATGCAATACGCGTGAAGACTATTGCAGGATGTACGTGTAAGTACCAGGTGTGTATCATTAAAGTCAAGGACATATTTCAATTAAATACACATATATCATATTCATACACGACATGCCGCTTTTACATAAAACATGGTTCAGTAAAGCTTAAGATATAATTATATTTATTAATATATTTCCCTCTAACAATTGATCAACTTACTTTCACACGCATATCTTATTATCTACAAACAACATCGTATGCAATACTAAATCATCATGTTATTTTAGTGGCGTGATTATATTAATGTCATGATTTTTTTATGTAATATTAACTAAATTCAAATAAGGCTAATTGCTACATGTAATTAAACTTGTCGAGCTACTTCAGCTAATGCAATACTGGGTAATATTTGGACAGCTAACTCGCTCTGCTCCTGCGTGTCTAATATCAATGGTATGAATTATTCATTCGCATACAAGTACATACGTGTTACTTTCTTGACACAGGGAAATATCAGTTACCTGCAATGTGCATGACATGCAGTGTGTCAGATCGTGCTGACATTCAACACGTGTGTGTAAGTTGTGTGCATGTGACAATATCGATGTCGAAATCCTCTCGGTGTCTCCCCGCTCTATGTCAGTCTATGAGACGTTTACTTGTAGATTGCACATGCTTTGCAAGGTTGCATATTTCAGCCCGGTCATCTTCAAGATAACTGCATGTCCATCTCAATATGTCCAAACTTTCGAATGATGAGTAAACAATGTTTTTAATGTCCATGTGTTGATTTGAGTTATATTATCTCAACTACCATATGTTATATTTGGGATTACACGTGTAATTCAAAATATATAAAATGCTACAGCTGACCAGTTTCTAAAGACATTGTGCATTCATTTTATTATCGTGCTCATTTATAGATTGTTTGTTTCATTAATCTATTCCAGGACCTTGTGCACAGGTATAGCTTTGATTAAAACTGCCGCACAGCAATAAATTATCACTTATCATGAGAGATATATGAACATGTACCTATCCGTGCCGCAAAATCACGCTTCGTTTGACATTGTTTTCACACACTTTCCTTCTTTTGTAGTCCTAACCAACTTCGTTGCAGCTGAAGTAATTCCATAGTGTTGTCGACAGTGCCGTGTCGTTACCAAGTGTGAAGTGTAAATCTGAGTAATATGTTGGTTCTTTCAAGGTACAAATTAATAAAATGACTAGGCCAGTCTTAGAAATCACACGATCTTAATGAACAAATATTCAAATCCCTGTATAAAAGTCTCTTTTAACCCATCGATTGCGCCGGGGTGAACAATAGTCTCTAGAAATGGTTCAGAGAAATGTATTCACACCCAGTGAAGAAAAACCTCCAATCGATAGGTTTTACACCGAAACGTTTTATCCAAATGCAGCTTGGAGACTGTTTGTCTGCTACAGGACTGCGTGTTTCACACACTTGGATGGATTTGGCATCATATAAAGACTTAGGAGATCACAAATTTCCGTATACCGCGTTTTCCTTACCAAATTACTGCAATAAGTTTTCATCTTGAATCAATGCCTTTCTTTGAAAACAAAATAAATATTGAATATTGTTGGAGAGTTCTATTTCATTCCGGACACTGAAATCCTTTCGCGCCTGGGGGAACCGAATTGACTTATATGTACGCTTTAATCACCTCGACAAGCACGGCCTGTAGATCCGCCGAGAAAAGCGTTTTCGTACAGCAGGATAGAAATAGATCGGCGAGGATTTGGAGAATATCATCTAACCTCACTTCAAAACTTCCGTTATCAAGTGACGAACGGTATGGCTGTTTGAATGTATCTAGACGCTTAACCGACCAAGTCATACGCGCTGAAAACGTCAAACCCAGGAAATTCGTGGGCCCATACAGTAAACAAACTCGGCCCACCGAGCGGGACTCGATCAACCGTAAACTCCCCAACCACACAAAGGTCCCCAAATATAGCGCGAGCCGACAGCTGTTATTACACAAAGAAGCTCATTCTAAAACCTTACCCTTCACTCTGAAAATGTGGAGCTACGCTACACTTATTACAGTAAAAATATTCCGTGGGTTGTAACACTCAAGTTTGCTGGTAAACCGCGCGAGCGTACACAAAAAGTCTCTCAGTCAATGTTTTCAACACAGCGACCCTCAATCAAGGTCAAAGGTAAGCTCCGCCCCGTTGTCAAACCGTCCAATGAGCAGCGGCAGCTGTGCTATAATTTCTAGCCCGCGCGCTGCATGTTGGGAAAATGACGTCACCCTAGCCATATTGCTTTTGTGCATTGTGAGTACTTGTAGAAGGTAAGGCTTTGTATGCCGCGCACGTTTCAGTACGGCGCTGGCAACAAAGAAACTAAGGTAGATAGGGCACTACTCGACTGCCCATTCACTATTCTGGATGTACGTCTGAAGTAAACAGCAAGTGTGATGCCTGCGAATATCTATGCAGACATGATGACCGCCAGTACTGGCATAGAAGACCAGCGAGCCCTGCAACTCGCCTTCGAACTGTCTTTGCTCGGGTTGGGAGGAGAAGACGAGCCCAGCACTACCAGTCCCAATAGTACCACAGTTAACTCTTCCTCCTCTTCCTCGTCTTTCGAGGATTCTAATGCTAGAAAAAGAAGCGCAAACATGACGGAGTGTGTCCCTGTACCAAGTTCGGAACATGTAGCTGAAATAGTAGGGAGACAAGGTATGTATCAAACCACAGTGGCACTGTAAACATTGGCTTTTTTCTTTGTTAAAAACCGCATGTGTAAATAAAGAAAAGTCTGTCAGTTTATCGCATGTGTCTTTAAGACTCGAGTTATTCGCTTCTCCATTCAAAGCCTAACAGTAGCCTATTCTATATTTAGTGTAAATACTACAGCAACGCGTGCACGAGATTTCTGTGCGCCTCGGGCTATTGTTCAGGGTCGCGCCAATTTGCACGTGGTCTTACAATCCTGTCGTTTTTACTTACGGGTGATATATCTAGCAACATTACTTCCACGTTTTCGGACAGTGTGTGTATTATACTAAATCCTTAATGGCATATTCCTGTTACCACTTGACGCCTATTTACAGAATCGGAGATATACTCTCAATTGTGTACGTTCGTTTGCCGATGAACTCATGTATTTTGTAAGCATTTGCGATCGATATTTTACGCCGTAACACGAATTTACGAGAGCTGTATTACTCATACGAACAACTAGGTCGATAAGCCCGCGACCAAACATTTACTCACACCAAGTTGGTGGAACCAACATAGGGAAACGTGATGCACACAAGTCGTGTCAAATTTGACCGCGGAAAGACAATATATTTCGAAAACGCTGTTATGTTTGATATCTCACAAAAGCTTCATATTAATTATTTGTGTAGACCTAGAGGATGTAAATATATAATCAGAAAGAAAAGGCAGTGTTCTCTGGGGCTTAGAAAATCCCCGATATTATCGTGTTTTTCTTTAAAAAGCAATATTCAATTTCACGTAGACAAACGCAACAATCATTTCGAAACTGTGAACACGTGTATTGTTCAAATTTTCATTCATGGTATGTTAAAGATGTGAATTGAATCTGTCAGCGCCTTGCTCAGCACACCGCGCTTGACAGCTGACGGTTTTATTCACCACGTGGTCACTTACTGTCAAAATATTTCCTTGTCAAAACTGTAATTGGCGCGAAAACATTTTCCGTTTAATCATTGTTAATCAAACTTCGCGTCTTCAGATGTTTCGGGCCATTGTCAATCATGCGTCGGCAAGACAATAAACTTGTAATCAATGGCTGAAGTAAGGATGACGCAGATTTCAATTAATCTTTGTCTATGTACGTAATTAAGGAGAGTGTTAGGGGGGGGTCAGTGCCCGCGGTCGGATGTTGTGACAACGCCAGGAGCACCTGGGGCGATGGTCATTGACCAATTCAAATTCGATAGGTCTTTGTTTGAACTGTCAGAATTGGCGCGAATGCCAAGTCAACGGCGTTCTTTGTCTGGACCCTCGGTTGCATGAAAACAGATTGGGTGGGTAATCCTAAGGTGATTGTTACCGTCAGAATATTGGCGTGAAGGCATCAATAGCGATTAAACTCTGACAGCGTAGGGTATTCACTATAGAGGAATATGTTTCAAATTTGGATATTTGTAAAAGGTAGTAGGTAGGTGCAATTTAAAGAATTTGTTTATCAGCTCATTTTTACATAGTCAGGTCTTTTGTATAGTTTTTTTTGTAGAGTGCCAGAAGCGATACCTTAAAATGATACGAAATGCACATGTTTGTGTTGAAGGAGTCGTGCATGGTGATGTATGATGTTGTCCTTACGTCCATGTGGTCGTGACAAGTTTGATGTATTGAGAGTACCCAGGAAGGGAAGTGTTGGCATACCAGTGTATTAACGTAGGAAGTACGCACTGTAAATGATTATATTACATATCCGACCTGACACATGGTATACATCACTCCCTGGATATATGGTTCAACCCTGTCCTCGGTATAAATGTTCATCTAGCCTCCATGCCATCCCCAACACACACAGGAGTCTCTCCCCGACCCGCACATATATGTATTAATATACACATGTTGGAGATGCGTAAATTGTTTAGCTACTCCGATACGGATGAGTAACTCGGGGATGAATGGCGGTTTAGATGCCGCCCTCGTGAGGAATTTTTGATGTAGGGATTTTTGAAGGTTTGCGGAAATAGTGTAAAATCATTGCGGACTAGCTAGTTAGTTGGTGGGATTGCGTGGTACTACGTTGTGGGGGACACTCCTTATCATGAGTAATCGGAGACTTGCAGGCAGCACGTGGTTCGGACCATTCTGTTGGTTGAAGCTACTTTCATATATTATTCGTTCGGGGGAATCACACGTTCCTATTAAATGACCAAGAAATATGATCCTTCTTATCCAAGAATAGATCATGCTCATTAAGTGTTGCGTCAGTCAGTAAAATCAACATGGCACGTCAGCCCCCGATGGTATACCTAGCACTAGTATTAGAAGCGTACAGCACCTGTCTGTCGGCTCGCACGTAGACATGTGCATCATCACAGTCAGCTTCCCCAAATACCAGCGCCATGTTCCACCAGGGCCAGCCCCAGCAGTAAGCATTAATCAAGTTAATAACCCTATTATCCGGGCGGTCCAGTGTCGGAATGCTCGTCCACTTGTTCCACAGGACGCTGTAGCTTGTTGGGCCTGTAGCTGGACTCGCTGTAGGAATTGGAACGTGGACCTGTAGCAGTGTCTTACACACATCCTCTCACTGGCTGTATCCATTGCCAATCCGTTCGATTAAATTGATGTACACTATATTCGCTTTTTTACAAAACTCTTTTTTCGATGAATTGTCCTGTATATTCTCTAAGGTCGATCGTGCAATTGAACCTGTTTTACAGATGTCAGGTTTTCGACATCGACTTTTAATCAAATCTTTTCATTAGGTACCCCTCCCACACGACCCTTCGCAGTTCTTAATCTGTACGCGGATGAGACGTATTTAACCGATTGACTGAAACCAATGTGGTTAGCTGACTATTTTTTAGCGAGGTATGTTTACAATGTAATAAGTTCGCCCCGTCCTTCGTGGGGACTATATATCAGATGAAACCGTCTGACCTTTCCGTGCGAATAAATTGTCAGACATTTTACAGACTCTTCTATTCAAGTTGAATTATGCATGTGTCAAAATGCCCAGTGACATTTCACTTGTGTGCAGTACATCCGGGTCTGCACACACACACACACACACACACACACACACACACCCCCCCCCCCCCGATATGTCGTCAATATGTTGGCATAATACACCCATCGTGGGATAGGGTCCAAGACTTGACCTTTAGTCGATGACCTCTACTTGAACCCCACAAGGATGTGTTGTATATCCTCGAAACTACTCCCGATTATACCTTCTACCTTCAGAACCGCGTTGTCACGTGTCATTGCAAATCATAACGTGTAATAAATTATTGTCACCTTGCCTCGCTTTGTAAATGTTATGGCAAGTTAAGTGGCGTTGGTGACTAATTTAACACGAGATACTTTCAGAACGTTGACGCTCCTTCATAGAGGCACAAGTCTGTCTGCTATTTTCATCATTGAAAACCTAGATCGCTCTTCGTGGCTGTCATTTTGGGGGGATGGTATATTGAGAGTAAGTACTAGACTGGCTACGGTTTTGGAAACTGCTAGTATCGCTGATGAGCATCTACATCTAGCTAGCTGACAGGTGAATCCGTGCTTCCAGTGGTAAGACCCCATATTTACTATAGACCTTGTAACGAGCAGTCGTGGCATGTGGTCGTGGCGGTAATTAAGCTTAGCCATTAGACTGTAAGTTATGCAGTGGTGCGGTGTTTAATGATTATTGCCGAGGTCGTTTGGGTTTGATATGTATGTCTGAAACAACGCCGTCTGCAAGTTGGCGACTGAATCGTAGATAAATATGGAACTTGACCCACATCAGTTAACATCTGAAAATGGCCCCCGTCTCCCGAGAACTAGCCGCAGTTCGATATAGTTGTGATGCAAGGCGGGTTGACTACGTTGAGCAATATTAATTCCGCGATTCTTGTTTGACTTCGTTCATGTTGGCCATGTTCAATGTCAAGTGGCCACTCCATGTGCCTGAAGTGCTCCAGCGACGGGCTTTATGTCGTGTACAGGACGACCAATGCAATGGCGTGATTGACCACTTCCTGTTAGGTCATGTGGTCAAACCTCAAACACACAAGCCGCTGTCCCGAGTTGGCTGGAGGGCAGAAAGTGCACTCGTCGGGTCTGTTTTAAGCTTTGACCGTGTATCTTCAACACAAACAAAACCAGTTGGTTACGAGCCCGAATGCACCACACCAGTTAATTCGTCATCGCCATTTCATGTTCCTACCGTATGCTGATGCAGAGGATGAAAGTAATCATTCTTAGTCATGACGGCTTAACGTTTCATTAAATTGCTCTTATACATTAATAAGTAGGCATTATCATAGTCTGATTGGTCGAGATAACTGCTTGCTGCCATATGCGAGGACGGAGTGACAGATGGTCGACCGCCGTTCTTGATCATAATGATATGATTCTTTGTTCCTGAGGCAGACCCAGGTCATCAACTGATTGCGTTCAGATGCCTGCACGCAATTTGAGTGTGCTTTTCACGAACCCATGCTATCTTGATACATAAACATATCTTTGATTAAGTAAGCAGTAGTTGATGAAGCTACCGATGCATATAAGTTTCACGCTGAGTGCCAGAGTATGTTTTCATTAACTTGAGGATTGTGTTCTGCACATTCACATAGGAACATGGACTGATACTTATGTATTGGTATACTCGCAGTAGTCGATATTGGGTTGACCTACTTCTAGATAAGCTGATTCCGGATCGTTATGCATCAACACGTGCTAAATGTATTATACCCTCTCGCTGTAACCCCATTGGGGAGATTGTATCATAAACTAAGGTCACGTAGACGGTACGCAAGTCAGGGGTCATGGCTCCGTGGACGGTTTATGCAGCTCAGATAGACGCTATGTAATCAGTCCACAGAACGTGCCCCAGCTTCAGTCCATCAGTCCTGTGTGTTCACCCTCTGGATGTTTTTGTCCCAATGGGTATTTTGTTAGAGAACATGGCATGTTCATGCAATGAGCGTTGGAAGCACGACGCGCCGACTGTGTTATCATGAAGACTACATCCCCACGTTCGGAGCATGAACCTCGCTGTGTGATTGATCTCCCAGACATCAGGTCTATTTATATAGCCAGTACGCTACCAAAGCTAGGTTATCTTCCAATGTTCCAGGAAATTCTTCCGTTAGTTCCAGTGTCGGGTGTCATTCCCGCCTAGACATACATAATACATACTGCTGTAGTTTTTGACGAGAAGAATGCTGTACCAAGTTTACTTATACGACCACACACTGTTTTAAGGTCTTTGAATACCGCCCCCTTTCTCGATCCTATATGTATGCTTATCAGTATGTAGTTTTATTACAGTAAGCAAATCCGCTTCTCTTCACAGTAAGCGTACGTTCTATCAAGAACATCGCTTGTATCTTTGGGAGTAGCAATGGGATATTTATGATCGTGACTTCAAACTAGTGTGTATATTTTAGCCAGCATAAAAACTATGTATATGTGCTGCGGGACAGGGGAATCGGGGAATGCCTCCACACCTCGACGGGCGGCAGACCGACCGGTCGGCCTTGAGAACGGTTATTTGCGGCGGGAGTGTGAGAGGAAAAGCATACTTGAAAGTTGGCAGTATGGCTGCGCGGCTCGAGTGACGAGTAACTGCACTTCTCCCGTCGACTGCCCTAATTAAGTTAGTGAAACCGGGGAAATGTAGGCCGGAAGACGGTACTAATAATCAATTACCAATGTAGGCAAATTTGCACATTCCCCATCTCTTGTTGCTTCAGTTCAATAGTATTGACACGGACGAACTACCGTAGCTTTGGATTACTGAATAGAAAGGGGTTTAGTTTCTCTAGTGGAGTTAGAGCATCATTGCACATAACTTCATCTAGTGAAGGATGATATATATCCCATCGAAGCACCAATTATTTTCTACCGTTCAAAAGAAGCTGTATATTTTAATGATGGTGTTGTTGAATTTCGTTGCAAAGGTTGTGTCAAGCCGCTATCGATTAGCTGGTTTAATTTCTTGGCACTATTAGAATTTTGTCTGTCGCTTTCTTTCACAGTGGCTGCCAATTGATAGTTAATTTGCAGTATCAGAAAGCCACCGTGTTGTCAATTAAGTAAATATTATATGTTCCTTGTGAGTAATCACTGTACTTTAATGAAGCTCGCTGGCAAGTTGACCGCCCGAAGCTGTCTGTCCCAATGCCCGCGACCAACACGTCCCGCTGTGCAATCATGGCTAACTTTGTTGTTTACTTTCAGGATGCAAAATCAAAGCTCTCCGGGCCAAGACAAATACGTACATCAAAACACCAGTGAGGGGAGAAGAACCGGTCTTCGTCGTCACCGGACGCAAAGAAGATGTCACCTCCGCCAAAAGAGAGATCTTATCTGCCGCTGAGCATTTTAGTCAAATTCGGGCGTCCCGAAGGAATAGTAGTGTTTCAAGTGTTGGATCCAGCAATGGTTCCACCCTCACACCCGGCCCCCCAAGTCCCAACGCCCCCGGGCAGGTGACAATACAAGTTCGTGTCCCCTACCGAGTGGTCGGGTTAGTCGTGGGACCCAAAGGTGCTACAATCAAAAGAATTCAACAACAAACGCACACGTATATTGTGACCCCCAGTCGCGACAAGGAGCCAGTGTTCGAAGTGACCGGTCTTCCCGATAATGTGGAGAAGGCAAGACAAGAAATAGAGAGTCATATTGCTATGAGAACGGGAGGTTTAGTGGATACAACAAACTTGCCCTCCAACCATGGGGAGGACTTCCCGAGTAATGGACTTGATTCCGGCTTTCACGAGCTCAATGGGGATTTCATGGGGTCGATCTACAAGCCACATTCGACTTCTGGGTCGGCATTTACGTCTTATGGCAGCAGCAACGTGAATGGGAATAGCCTTTTGTCACGACGGAGTCAGGAAGCTACAATATTCAACTTCCCTCCCGTTAATGGGTCCACTTCCTCCACATCCAAAGTCTCCCCAGACTTCCCTAACCCCTTGTCTAACGGATTCGGTGCATTCAATGGCTTTAGTGTGTACGACAACGACGAAGGGATCGGGTCTCCGTCATTCGACCCAATCCCTCCGTCACCGTCAATGTGGCCCGACTTCAGCACTGACAACCGTAACTCTCTAGTCTCAATCTTCGGCAATACGAACTCTCCGCCATCTACCAGTCCCCGTCGCAGCAGCAGTTTCGCCGGTGGCATGTGCCCTTCCTCACGAATCTCCCCACCCCTCACGGAGAACGGGACCTCCGCAAGCTCCAGCCCCCCAAGCAATATGACCTCGTCCCCAGCTCCAAGCATTTCCGGGGACCATCAAATGGTCCGGCGTATCCGAAGCGATCCGCTGAGCAATGGACTATCAAATATGAACGGTTTCACCACCCCGCCTAGCTCCGTGACGAACAGTTTCGCGTGTGTCTCTACCTCCAGCGGTTCCCCCACCCACAGCAGCACCGCCACCTCAAGCCCCACCCCAACAAGCGATGCAAGTGGCCCTGTCACCCCCGCGGGTACAGGCCCGTCCCCAACACGACCAAGAAAGCACTGTCTTATCTGCAATGAAAGCGAGGTGGTAGCAGCTCTCGTTCCGTGTGGTCACAATTTGTTCTGTATGGAGTGTGCCAGCCTAATTGTTGAGAAACCTTCCACCGAGAGATCCTGCCCGGTATGCCAACAGACTCCAACTCAGGCAATTCGAATATTTTCTTGAGTTTTTTTCTCATTTTACTCTACTACTACTCCTACGTGGTGTGTACGTATTCCTATTAATCAACGTTCTCTCCACGTATAATGATACTCGCGGTGGACATTCTCACTGGGACCTCGCTACGTTCACACGAAGCGATATGAGATTACTAGCCACGCTCTACGTTGATTTATATTAACTATGTGTTATTATTGAATATTATGTGAATATTCAAAAGTGCAAAGTGGATATATACATGTGCGTTTATCCAAAAGTATTATATTAATATTACTTATAAGAGTATTTTATTCTTTGAATATCTGTATTTCCTTATGTCTGATATCGAGAGATGACAATAATTTAAGTGTACGTTACGTGCAGCTGATTGTTGCTTTATGTGTGGTGTACGTGTTATTAACGGACGCAACCTGCTCGACCCAAAATGCAAGGGGAGGCAATTGCAGGTGGTATGTTATGTTCACGAGAATTGGCGGTGTAAGATTCCGTTTTTAAATTATATTTTATCCAGCTGACAATATTTTATAGTCCAAATGAAAAAAAAAAGAAAAAGAAAAAATAGACTTTATTTTATTCTATATTGTGGAGTCAACCCAAAGTGGGGTTTGTTTGTGATTGAAGATTTAAGCTTTCTAACATACATATATTATTTGTATAAATAGATTCTCAAAGACTTAATTTGTTGCACATCCATAGTTTAGTATTTTCTATTTTAATATTATTTACTACTCTGTGTATATTGTAGATGTTCCACAGATTACCAATAACTCGTCGACAAAGTACAAGAAAGATATTTTTATTTTGAGGCCAAGCAAAATATGGCCGTTACTAATATTATATTTGCTGAAACTCAGAAGTATAAGATGTAAGAGTTTTATTTTTCTGCCATTAAAGTCAAGTTCCAAAGTGGAATTACACAACTTGTTCGATCTTTTGGTTTCATACTAACGTGTCTACTAAAATTGTTCATATATTCGGCCGTCGGCGCTCGACGTCGGAAACAAGGAATCTGACGTCATTGGAGGGTAATATCTGCATAAATCCACATCCGAACGATGTAAGGGGAGATGTGTGACGTTGAGGCGAAGAAACAAATTATCACCTTGAAAATTGGTTCATTGTGATTTAATACACATGATTGCATTGGTCGTAATTGCACAGCGTTCATACTGGGTCAATTTGTCCAAGACGTCACTCGCCTTCCCATGCATATCAATGAGAGCGATGTGACACTGAGTTTTACCCGCTTCTCAATAACTGGTGCCTACCTTTCCAATTTAACCCAAGGGCTGTACGTCATTTGCTTGTCAAATCGAATGGACCTATGGTTGCCGAACCAATCTGGCATCTAAATGACATTCTTTGATCTGTTTCCAGAACTAGGGATTAGATTGTAGTGTAGTATCTTTCATTGCGTCAATATTCTTCTTGATCTCTACACTTATTTCTCTTTCTGAGAACGGGTTCATTTCCATCTATATTATGCAAAATAAACAACGTAAACACTGAAAATGAACAAGTATCTGGTGTGTAGCACGCCTATAGTCTTGCATGCTTTCTGATACATTCATCTGCCTACCGTAAATACACTTGTACGAGTCGTGCGTAAGTTGCGCAGACTTCGATCGGACTAGTGTGGTTTACGCATAGTCCTTGATGGGCGTTTATGGTAATGTAGTTCTGAATGGAAACAACGGTCTGTGAAGATTCGTCTAAAAAGTTTGAAATATGCATGAGGTTTCAGAGTCGTGTTCAAAATGCTGTCGTAAAACGACTGCTTACAGATAAGATGTTTTTCAACAAATGATTACCGCATTAGCATTATAGATGAACGTCGGGTATTCCACAGGCGTGTAAGGTACATGACCGAGTCGTGTTAAGGCGGCATGCACTATACTGGAATGCATAATTAATACTCACGCTCCCGTACCTTGCATGCTGAGGTGAGGCAGGTGCATAATGCATGCGGCTGGATGTGAAACAGTAGAATGGGAAATCTCTTGGATATTTAACCAAGCAACATTCGTCTTGATTCGTTCAATTTACAAGCGGTAATGTGTGGGATTTTGCCTGATAAAACTGATCTAAGTCGACACATCACAAAGTATCCACAGACCAACACGGAAGTATGCGATGATAAAATAAGAATAATGATTGAATCTGTAATAGTTATTTACATTTTACGCTGGTTTCGAGTGGGCTATCTGGATTCACGTGGAAGAGAGGTCGAATCTTTACATGAAGTGGTCAGGATAAGTTAGCTCTGTGATCCACGCCCTTTTTACCGAGTTAAATTTACCACTCAAACGAATTTAAAGATCACAGTGGGTTATTTCTATGATATATGATGTAACCATCTTATAGACATAATAACTATAGTGTCACGGAAAATCAAGTGCTCAACTTCTTTTGAGAAGTATATTTTGAACGGAAGGATTTAAGTGTCCGATTCTGTTTGACCACTACGAACACGGCCTTGAGTTATAAGTATTACAATGTTCATAGCAACACATTCCCAGGGTTGTCATGGGGAACGCGCCAAGCACTCCTCAGAAGCACTGCAACAACGCCAGCTAACTATGTCAGTTTAGTTAACACGGAAGCAACCATTTTGTCCAGTAATCGGGTTATTATCATAATAGGCCAATGTCATAATAGGATGGGCGATCCCAGAGACGCAGCTGCTGCTCACTCCCAGATAGCATCATGAAAGGAATTCCAGCATCGTCACCTTGCCAACGCCTTGTTTCCTGTTGCTTGTGGGTTCCAGACAAAGTGTTCAAGACTGAAACTGGCAGTCACACCCTCCTGCCACTGTTAATGTTGTTACGACAGTCACAGTGTCTTTTGAACTGTTCTTCCTGAAGACATAGTGTACTGCCACTGTTATGACTGTCTCAGTGTTCTGACTCCGACTGATCTCGAATGAAACCTTCTGTTTGGCTCTATTTTGTTCATTCTTTGTCATATAACTGGGATATTGCTACAATCAGCGTAAACCATGTATATGGATTTGCTGTTCCTCAGTTATTTCTATAAGTCACTTTTGTTCCCATAACTGACTCGGTTCTTCGTTAAACTAACTGTTGATCCTATAGGTGACTCAAAATGTACTTATGATGGACTGTTTCTCCTTTGACTGATGTTTCACGACCGACTGCCTTATTCCACTCACTCTGCTGTTCCTGTCTGTCCCCTGCATTTACCATGACTGACTGCTGTTCCCGTTACTGACACTTCTGTTCCTATGAATGACTGTTGTTCCCGTTACTGACACTACTGTTCCTATGACTGACTGCTGTTCTCGGGACTGGTAATACTGTTCCTATGACTGACTGCTGTTCCCGTTACTGACACTACTGTTCCTGTGGATGACTGCTGTTCCGTTACTGACACTACTGCTTCCTATGACCTGTTGTTCCTATGTTACTGACTGCTGTTCCTATGACTGACTGCTGTTCCCGTTACTGTCACTACTGTTCCTGTGGATGACTGCTGTTCCCGTTACTGACACTACTGTTCCTATGACCTGTTGTTCCCGTTACTGACACTACTGTTCCTATGACCTGTTGTTCCCGTTACTGACACTACTGTACCTATGACCTGCTGTTCCCGTTACTGACACTACTGTTCCTATGACCTGTTGTTCCCGTTACTGACACTTCTGATCCCATGAATGACTGTTGTTCCCGTTACTGACACTACTGTTCCTATGACCTGCTGTTCCCGTTACTGACACTTCTGATCCCATGAATGACTTGTTCCCGTTACTGACACTAATGTTCCTGTAACTAACTACTGTTCCCGTCACTGACGCTATCGTTCCAATACCTGACTACGATTCCCCCTAATCCTACAGTTCCAATAACTGACTCTGCTGTTCTTTACAATGGAGCGTTGTATGTAGGAATTAAAGGAGGTATCTAACTCTCACCCCTCTGCCAAGTATATTCCATCGAAAAAGAAAACACCCTCACGAATGCGAGTGAATACTACAGTTGACATCTGATAACAGCTAGATCCGTCCACTAGGAGTGGATTGATGATCCGAATGATTAAGTACACATTGTTCACACGATGTTACAGTCACACACAGGTCTGAAGTCGAGCCCTGACACCACTTATACTACTGTACATTGACAAATCACGGAATCCAATCTGAGGTAATAATCAGTTACATTATTACAAGATAACGGCATATCTTAACGACCAAGCGATGCTGATTGTATTCACATTGTCAGGGACGTCTACAAGTCCTGGAGATGTAAAGGGACTCACTCCACAGTCTGTGTACTAAGCAAGACGGTTATGCAACACTTCCCTGCTTGACAATGTGTCAAGTAGATATCTCCTGTACTTCCACACAGACGTAAATTTCAATTTGCATTGCACTCGCCAGCCTCCAGTTCCATATCAAGCAGTCAAAGATATTACCGCAGTACTAGTCACAGTGCCACGCTCGATATTCACGAAGATAAATATGAATATTGCATTGCTTTGTGGTTGGGGCTTAACACTTCTAAAACTCACATTGTTTATTTATGCGTCATTCCCGACTTCTGACTGTTGAAAATAGAGAGTAAACATGCCTCGTTCACCCTGTCCGTTGTGTGATGAATATTTCACATCGGTATCCTCATCCACAGTATCTAGGACACTTGCTGGGACAACAGTTAATGCTGATAATTACACAAGCTAACAATTATTGCACGTAACGTTATTCTAAATCAGCAGCTGACAATCTGAAAAAGATTATCAACAACAATTACATGTCAAGGTCCACTGGCTTGAACTTCATGATCGATGGGTTTCATTACATTACGAAAAACAACAATTGATATCGACCAGCCCTCTGTCTGCTGAACCCTTATTGCGTAAAATTGGTTGTGGAAACTTCCAATTTAGTGTTGACAAGAGTTAAAAAGATACGATTGTCTGTAGCTGGAGGCGTGAGGTGGTTGATGAGACTGGATTATTTCGTCTGCTAGGTACGATGGAGACCCTGATTTGCTCAATGACCTTTCTATATACACCAAATCGATTTTCATCAACTGTAATTACGCCATGCTGGTTCAGAGCAAACACATCAAACCAGCTAACGAGATATCTTTAAATCATTTTGATTTATTGAATATCTGTTCGCACCAGTTACGATTGCTGAGGGAAGCTGTTCGTCTTTGTCGTCGGACCATTGAATTCAATTTCGATAATAATACGAAATATGGAAGATGTTGGCAGTGTGATTGTACATTGTGAGGAAGTAGGCAAACAGAGTACTTCTAAAGGGTGAAACTGTCTGAGTTCAACTTGTTTAAAGTTGATGTATTTGGTTTCGTACGAAACGCAAATACGCATCCCCAGCGTGAAAACAGATTATTTCGTTTCGTTTAAAACTGGATTTCAAAGCCTCTCCTTCGATGCGTCATCATTCATACAATGACAATTCAAACGTAGTTCTAGTTAAATGTTCTGAATAATTACATGAATTTAACACAACATTGAACGTTTCAATGCATAGTCGGTGCAGAATGGCGCATTGCATGTTCGTACAACTGAACCAGGGTAAATGATTACAACAATGCAGAATATCTGAATCTGGAACCGTATTACCATCTACACTGCTCTGTGAGTGGTAGGTATGTTAATGGTCCTTGTTGATGAGTTGATGGTTGTATATTTATAGATGTGTAATAACTGGCTTATAATGCTGTGTGGCTGAGCACCAACCCTACACTCGCATCGATTCCACATCGTTCTTGGCAAGTCACTGGCCTGATTCACTGTCGTGGTATGAACTTTAGAATTTGTTAGTAATAATTAATCTACATGTTCGTTCCATTTAGAAATCTATACTGCGTATTTGCACGACAATTCACCTGCTGTTTCGTGGGTATTTGGTTCAATGTATACAC